GTTTAGCTTGCTGTGACCTTTGCACAGGATCTGCCTGTGACATAAGTTCAGCATACACCAGTTTGTGGTGGCAGGCTGCCAAAACTACCCTGCCTCTTATCACCTCTTCCCCTTACAGTTTGTTAGATTTCTGGGAAATGCTGCCACAGGTGTTAATGCAGTGAAACCCTATCTGTATCTGTTCCTAAACACCTATCCTGTGCTGTGCCTTTCTTTGGCATCGGAGAGGGTCTGCATTTATGGCACAGCAGAGGCTGAGAACACGGACTAGCCCAGTGAGCTGGAGTAAAGGTCTCCATCTCTCAGGAAGGGTGCAAAGAGGGGCTCATGTACCCAGAGGGATTTGCCAGCCCCTCGAAATGAGAAGTGCCTCCAATGACTTTCTGCTGCTGTAAACTCTGAACTCCTGCAGCAGCCTGAGCCACACTGGTGGGTACAGGTGTTAGCAAGCCCACTGAACAAAGCAGTTCACTCTGTTCTTCACTGTCTGTAATGTGAGTACCTACTGAGAGGTACCAATGATAAAGCAATCATGACAGTGACAATTCTGTCATTTCACAGTGTCAACCTAAGCATGCAGTGACAGAGACAGATCTCAAAAGAGGGTGACCTCTGGCAGTGAAAAAAAGAAAATACAACAGTGAGCAGCTGGGAGGGTGCCCAGGAGCTTCAGTCTCTGACCCAGTTCAGCTGCAGATACAGCAACACACCCAGGCAAAGCCTCATTAACATCTTTATAAATTTCTGCAATAGCTGGGTGTTGTCTGAAGGTTTGCCTTGAGCACACCCACACAACTGAGCCTCAGCTGAGTTGGGCTGTGGAATATACAGGGAAAAGTAACAATGCTTCTTTTTAAGAAACAGATCAGCATCTGAAATAAGTCACTGTGCTTGACTTAGCCAAACCAAATTCCTGGTGTCTGGAGTTTTGTCTATCTGGTGATAGCAGGATTAGATACAATATGCACGAATATACTGCGCGACCATGCAAAACCAAATACGGCCGCAAAGTTAATTGTGGTTTAATTAATACAGTCTGCTGCTCCACCAAGTTTTTGATTATTTGTCCATCTTTAGATTTTCAACAAAGCATTCCTGCACTGTTGGATGCCTTCAGAAAAAGAAGAAAAAAATGTATCTTCCTTTCCATTTTGGAAGTTTGGCTTGATTTCAAGCCATTTTATTCAATAAAATTTTTTGTTTGTTTGTTTATTAACAACACATTTGGCGTGTCCATTTTTCAGGCCTTTTTTAAGATTCTAAATTTTTGTGAATTTCAAAGTGAAGAACATGAAATATTTTTTACACATAGCATAAAAACTAAAGCAGCTTGAGAATATGTTTTAGTTAAAGACATAAACATGTTCCTGAAACATTAAATTTACTTGTAAACTTTGTTGAACAATTTCAATTTCATGCCTCAAACTCCAGCTTTTAAAAACATATTTGGTTTAACTACTAGATGGTACTTTTGCCCACTCACGACATTTGACACTGGGTATTTTTTCCTCATGGTTATTTGGTATAAAAGGCTAAAAATAAAAGCATATTGTTCTGAGCATTGTGGACAGCTTTTCCAGACGGGGAAAACTGAGGGTTTTACGACTTAGGAAAGTGGAGTTCCCAGAGGGCTGGTCTGCTTTTTTTTTTTTCCATTCTTCCCTTTAGGATTTTCTGAAAACATTTCACTTACTGTTGACTCTGCAGTACTTTTACAGCCTTGTATTTTTAGGGTTTTGTGCGTACCTCCCACGCGCGCACCCCATGCGCGGAGAGGTACCCGGGCACTTCTGTGCAATCACTCACTCAGACGTGACCAAAGATTCAAACTGCTGCAGGGGGCTGGTTTTGGTTTTCTCCTTTGCAAACAGTTGGCAGAAATTTGCTCTCTGCTCAGAACGGGTTAAGGTGAGTGTTCCCCTGAACACTCACCTTGCAGCAGCCCTGGCAAGGAGGGGAGCCCTTGGAGGTGTCTGAACCAGCCTGGGGTGTCCCCTCATCCAGCTCCCAGGGCTGTGCCCCTGCCAAAAGCATGTGCCCTCCCATCTTTTGCCAAAGCAAAAGCTAAGCAGAAGCAGTGCAGCAAGGTTTGAAAGGGTGAAACATGCCTTTGTCTGCTCCCTTGTTATCCTGAACAGCTGGGGTAGAGCCGCATGCAGCCCATGGCCATGAATGGCAATATTAACTTTAAAAAGAAAATCCTAGTTTTGATTGGCTGAGCCAGCTGTCTGATGGCACAGCTTTCCAGCAATTTAGAATTTCTTTGTAACTAGGGAATTGTTGCAAAATAGGGAACAATAGCATTATATGAAGACTGATACTTAAACTGGTATAGCCAAATTTACCTTCTAGTTGTATCTAAATTAATAATCTAATTTTGAAAGGAAATCAGAACCTAACAGCTGCTGTGACTTTTCTTAAACTGTTTTAGAAAGAGTCAGATTATGATTTTTTTTGACTATTTGGACACCTGATAGCTTATCCTTAGAGTATACTTCTGCTCATTGTTAATTTATTTTTTGTTTTTACCTAGCAGTTGAACTGGTAAATTACGAATTCCTTAAAACTTAAACCACATAAAAAGTATTTTGTTTTCAATAGAGGGGTCCAGTGTGAATTTCATGTTCAATACATGAGCCAGGATGTGATTAATTGACAAGTAACTGGCATACAGTTGTATGCCAATATTTCATGAGTTTTTAAACTGATAAGCTTCACTGTCAGACTAAACATTCTACTATTTGGTGTTTTCTAAAACGTTGTTGAAGTGTGTTTTCTCTAATATATGTAATGATAACGTCTTAATGTTAAGGCTATGTTATTTAAATATTTTTTTAAGGTTAAAGCTTAACTGGTAAATCTATTGGTCTAGTTAATAATTCTTAAATATCACACCTTCTTCAGTGATTTAAGACATGACCATTGTCTACACCTCTGTAAGAGAAATTTATATTAACCATTACAAGGTACTAGGAAGTACACTGGATATAAAGTCCTGCATAAACTTAGAGGTTGTTATTAATCTGTAAGTGAAGTGCTAATAGACTTGCAGATAACTCGACATACATATTATCCACTCAGGAAAAGCCTGAACTTTGCTAAGGTGGAAAGAAAATTCTCACATGGAAAGCAGGGAGTCGGTACAAAGTGGTGGTGCATAAATGGAGGCTAGAAATTAAGAGAGTGTCAGCTTCACAAAGTGGTGGGGCAATGGAAATGAGGCTATGAAAATGACATTGGTGTACCTGTGCCCCAGGGCTGATTGGGTTCCTCCTGAAAATGAGGACTGCGCTGCTGGCAGTCACCCTGGGATCTTGTTTTATGGTCCTTCTTGTTCTTGTGTAATGAAAGGGGCTGGCTTCCTGTCCTGTTAAGCTTCCATTTACCTGGGCATGGTATTCAGGAGAACTGGACTATAATTCTGCAAATGTTTCCAGCACAGGGCAAGAAAAGAGACACACATATGAGTGGAAAAGTGTTAAGACTGCAAAGCTCAGGTATCTTTGTATTCCAGCTCCTCAAATTTTAAAGGACACCTAAGCAATGTTTACATTCGTTGCTGAATCAAAACTTTCATGTATGAGGTGCAGCATGTCCCACCTCTTCTTCCCTCAATGTATTTTCTCACGCTGTCCTGGAAGTTTCTGGTCTTTCCCCTTTTCACAGTCTCCCCTTCACATTCCCTCTGATCCCATGCCACTGACATTTCCGAGGCTGTGTCTCTCCCCTCTGTGTTTCTGCTTGTCCTTGTAAGGTGGGAGCAGGCAGTGGTTGGGTGCAGCAGATGTGCTGTGCCCGGGGCTGTGGCAATGGGGGATTTTCACACTTCAGGCTGAGCCCCTGCCCCCATAACACAACCAGCTGTGCCTGAGAGACATGGGAACCCTGTTGAGCCTTCAGCCCGATAAATAGCTGCACACTTCAATTCCACTGTGCCTAATTAAACCCTTTTCCAGCACACCAGGGAAAAAACCAAGTAATATCCGACATCCTTTTGCCACCCAAATTGCTGTGTGCATTAGAAAGTCCAGTGTTGGCTTTGCTTTCCTTGACTTTTCCCCTGTGTGAAATGGGGGTACAGCTGTGCCAGTGTGTTGAAGTCTATAAATGAAAAGTGTTGCATAGGTGTAAGTATTATTAGCTGCTTAATAGAACTAGACAGTGGCAAATGAACCTGATACAATGAGCCACAGCAGTGTCAGCTTAAACCTAGATAACTTGACATTTTTACTGGTAACTGCTGAAGTATAAGGAAAAAAAATTGCTGTAGCATTCCTGTAACTCCATCAAAATTTCTGTCTATCTGAGTCAAATGCAGCAGAGACCAAGGCAAAAAATATCACTTTTTAGCTCACATTTTTTCAGTGTCTCTTTCAAAAAAATATAATTTTGAACAGCTAAGCACCTTTTCTTTCTCTTAGAGCCCCACAGAGATTTCCTTACAGATAAGTACCTCCTATCATACCTTCTGGCAGCTGTGTGCTCTGTGCCTTTGTCCCACACAGGTGCTTTCCTTGAGTCAGCATGACAAAATCAGTTTTGGAGACCAACAAGTATGATTTACCATCAAGAAATAAGCTTGGAATCAACATGCCACCAAAATCTTTCTGTTTCCCAGCTGCTCACTGAGAGTGGCCATATGCAGAAGTGACCAGACTATGATCCACGGCAGAGTTATGGAGGGGGAAACCGTGAGGCTAAGCTGGGAAAACACGTTGGGTTTTCCAAGTCAGCTTCTCTGGGCTGAGGAGCACCAGGCTGTGTTTTACAGTATATCACAGTATATCACAACTGCAACCAGCACAGGGAATTGGCTTCTAACTGGGACAAATGTGGGTTTTTTTCTTCATTACCTTGCACTGTTATTTTTTTGGTACAGTCCCCTAACCCCTTTTCCTCTGACTCTGTCACACCTCATAAAACAAAGTGGTTGACTTGCTGGTTTATAACAATGAAACTGGTATATGTAACTTAGAGATTTTCTTAACCTTTTTTATTTGTTTGTGTTCCACCTGCCACTTCTGAATCCACAGGCTACTAAAGCATTTCCACTGAATTTCAAAGATTTTTCCCTAAGTGCCAGCTAGTTGTGCCTAAGCTTTAATCTGAAGATTATTTTTTAGACTATAATAAGTAACAGCTAATTGAGAAATAATACACTGAATATATTTCTAGAGTATCTAGAGAGGTACTATGGTACCAAAAAAAATTTGTACTGATTTTTCCTAAAGAACTTGGAAACAAAACAGTGTAGCCATTGTATTTCAAACATTAGAGCAATTGTTCAGTAAGCGTGGTGCAACCCTAAATTTCTGTGTTAAAATATGGTGCCAGCTCTGTTTTTGTAAATTGTGGTGCTGTGGGCATGCACATGTTTAAACAAGTGCTTTCCTATCTCCAGATTATCCAGTCATATTTATGTATATGGTTTGCAAAAGCCAGACAGCACTCTAAAGCAATAAAAGGGAACCTAAACCATGTCCTTGGCTTTCACACATTGTACTTTCAAAACAAATCAAAACTTGTTATGGGGCTTTGATTTTTCCTCTAAGTACATTAGCATGTCCTACATAAAAATCCTAATGAATTCATTTTTGTATACCGCAAAACATATAGGTAGGAAAAGACCTAGTAAAACAAAGAGATAAACAGAAAACAATTGCCTGCAATTGAAAGTGTTTTGTGACATAGTTTCTGTTACTTCAGTTTGCTCATAATCCTGTGACCTCAAACATCTTTAAATTGCAGGTTTATGCAGCCAGAATATTGGTGTAACTCCTTTTGGACTCAACAGGCTATCTAGTGGGTTAACCTACTACTGAAGGTCAGGAGAATGTCATTCATCTTCCATAATGCCTGTATATCACCAACTACACTTCTGGAGATATTCTGGAAAATGAAACTGCGAGAACATTCCAAGAAAGTTCAGTGGGATTATTACCTTTGACAAGATTTTCTTGACAACACACAAACCTTTGTACATATATCACCGTAATACCCAATAAAAATCAAAAGTTCCCCTTGGGACTGCTCTGCTTGCTGTGCACAGTATTTCAGATGGGCTGGCAATATGAGGATTCAGCACTACCATGGAAACTAACTCGTGGTTGCTCACCCATATTTTCAGTTTAAGCATTCTCTGTTATTTTGAATGTTATTTTCTTCCTTTTGAAGAAAGGTTTCTCATGTAGCCTCCTAAAATAACACCTAGGCCTGGAAGATGCTAATCACTGTATTTTATGTCCCTCTTTGGGTAAAATAGGTTATTCTCCAAGTCAGTGTTTCTGGTTTAGTAAGTCACAAAAGTAAAAACATTTTCTTATTTATAGTTCTCACTGGAATTATGCTGTGGAAACAATGGTTGTATATAATTGTTAAGACTGTGCAAGACTAGTTGATTACAGGATCAGACAATATTCTTAGAGCATTAGCTTTTCCCCAGTATAAGAATCTTTATTCAAATTAGAAGTGGACTTTAACAGGTAGTGCTAGCCCTTGAAACCAGGTTCTGTGTCCTCCACCACACTGCTGCTGGTTTGTGTCTCAGCCTCGTACACTGCAGTGCTGCGAGGAATGACCACATGCCAACAGCATCATTTCCTGACAGAGACGTGATCAGAAAGTATAAGAAAAGAAGAGCAACTCCCTGACTAAAAAACTTTAAGAAGATTAGTAGCTACTTTAGAAATAATCAATGTGAGAAGGTAAGCATGTTGTCTTGATTAGAGAGCCAGACCTAGGGAAAACAGCAAGAATAAGAGAGTGCAAAAAACTGCAGAAGGAAAGAAGATATTTTGGGTTGTTACTGCAGAGGGCTTTTATTCTCATTAGTATTAGGGGTTAGTATTGTTTTCAGCTATGAAGGGTAATTTGATTATGTTGATCTTATATCACTGAGACAAGGAGCTGGACAGATTCTGCAGAAGAGAAGTGTGTGACTCATGGAAAGAGTAGCTAGTGAAGAACTTGCTCAACTTGAACTCTTACTTATAGGGATTTTATTTACCCCTGGGGGAGGGTGAAGTTTTCCAGCTTGGCATAGAGCTAAACTACTTTACCAGTAAGAGAGAACTTGAAGTCTCATTTGCTGAGAAGATAAGCTTTCATGATACAGGCTAACATGTACTGAAGATTATTGCACAGCCAGAGAGGAAAAAGATGCTTTAAAGGGTGGGGATTTTTAGCTGTGAAAATTAGCTAATGAAATAGTCAACACATATACCTAGCTACATTAACTCTTTTTCATTCAATACACAAGACAAACCATCAAACATTTATTTACAGCAGGTACACTTAATGAAAAATAAGGAGAAATTCTCCCTGCTTTGAGGATCCCTAGGAGCTCTCTCAACAATAACACACATATTCTCCTTAGAGAATTAAAAAATGCTCCTTAGAGAATTCACTCAAAACTATTTTATTATTTTTATTTGTAATGTCAATAATAATCTACCTGTCTGTTGACATTACTATGGGTAATGTCAACTATGGGTAATGTTTTGGGTACTTGAAAAAAAATTAGCTGTGGAAGCATTTGGAAAGAGTCATATACAAGAAAATTACTTGCTAAAGAGGTTTGTTTAGTTTAAATGCAAATTCAGCCTCAGCTCATCTGTACAAACAAGTTTTAAAAGAAGCCCCCCCCCCTTCCCTGATGTGCTGATCAGAGCTCTTAATAGTAACCTAAAACACACATAAGTTAAGAAAACTCCCCAGTTTCTCCAGAACAGGGTAGAACTTAATCCTGAGGTACAGCCTGCTTGAAAAGTTGGAGGTCATAGAGATAAGACAAGATTTGGATGCTGCGTCAAAACAAACATTTTTATAGGTGAGTTATAAATATGGATCCTCTTTTTTTTTTTTTCTTTACAAACCCCACATCAAATTGGGAGGAAATACTGAAGCTGCTTTTGTTAATATTTTGTTCAGCATAACTATTTGTAAAAAGACTTTGTTCTACCTAATTATATTGTCCAGTAACTGAGATCCTCTCTGTAATAGAAATGAATCTTAAATTCTTTCAGAGGGGAAAAGCCCACCTCATTTTAAGACTAAGAAAGCCTAAGAAAAAGTAGCAGGTGTGAGAGTTCAATTTATTAGCCCTATTTTTGAGAAGAGCTAAATCAATTAGTATAAATCTATTCTAGTCTTTGAAGGATATATGGTAATAGATGACCAGAGAAGACTGAAGAGCTGTGCAATTTTGGCTTGGAAAAGCTTCTTTAAATGCTGTAGATGAAAATGTCAGTACTTGATGAGTTTAACTGTAAAGAATCACAAGAGATTCCTGCAGGCCCTAAAGATGTTATGTATTGTATCTTTCACAAAACTGGCAAACGCTCAAAAAACCCACTGGTGTTTTTGCCAGTCAGCGCTAAGAACTTACACATGGTCTTTGTTCAGGTTTTCTTGACTGAAGAGGCTTTCTCTTTATTTAAATTGTTGGCAGTCATAATTTCTGATTTTCATAATTGCAGTTGCCTTTAAATCAACTCTGGAAATCATCAAACTTAACAGTCCTGGAGCAGAATCCTGATCCTTGTCAGCCATGGCTACAGCCCTACAGAAAATGAGGGGGAACACAGGTTAGTTCAGCTTTGAAGGGGTGAAGGTACTACTTGATTTTAGGTCAGAGATGGACATCAATGTGCTTTGAACAGGAACAGACAAGAAGCTTCTGTGCAGGGTAGATAATTCCTTTTGTCTGCAGATTACTTCCTTTTAGTTCAAGATTGTACATACACTGATAGGTCAAAACTGTGGTCCTTGAAAATGCTACACTTGTTTTGGAAGAAATGGATAGGTACCTGCTTCCTTTTAATTTTTCTTTTTTTTCATAAAATTTTAAACTTTAATATGAACAAAACACTAGGATCCTGAATCTAGAGAATTTGAAATTTTTGTGTGCTGCTGGCTAAAGGTCGACACAAGCAAAATGAGAAAAAGAGGCTGCATGAGCTGAAATTTCGTGCTACAAATGCCTGCTTACCTAGATGACCCTGTTCTGGACAGATAATGGTTCTTCGCTTTACAGCCCACCTACACGTGACTCAAACAAGAATCTCACTCACAGACAGGCTCTTTAGCACTGAGGCACATCCTCTAGAATGTTTTTTTCCGCTAGGAATGCTGATGTGTAGAGCTGAAAGGCTCTGCCCTGCTGCTGGCGTGTGCCGCGTGCGATGCGATATTGCAGACGCGTGCGGTGCGATGCGATGCAGCCCTGCAGACGCGATGCGGTGCTGCCCTGCAGACGCGATGCGGTGCAGCCCTGCAGACGCGATGCGGTGCAGCCCTGCAGACGCGATGCGGTGCTGCCCGGCAGACGCGATGCGGTGCTGCCCGGCAGACGCGATGCGGTGCTGCCCGGCAGACGCGATGCGGTGCGATGCGATGCAGCCCTGCAGACGCGATGCGGTGCTGCCCTGCAGACGCGATGCGGTGCGGCCCTGCAGACGCGATGCGGTGCTGCCCTGCAGACGCGATGCGGTGCAGCCCTGCAGACGCGATGCGGTGCTGCCCGGCAGACGCGATGCGGTGCAGCCCTGCAGACGCGATGCGGTGCAGCCCTGCAGACGCGATGCGGTGCTGCCCGGCAGACGCGATGCGGTGCAGCCCTGCAGACGCGATGCGGTGCAGCCCTGCAGACGCGATGCGGTGCAGCCCTGCAGACGCGATGCGGTGCTGCCCTGCAGACGCGATGCGGTGCTGCCCTGCAGACGCGATGCGGTGCTGCCCGGCAGACGCGCGCACTCCAACGGAGCATCCCGCAGATGTGCGGCTGCGGGGCTCGCCCAGAGACATCCGCGCCTCTGCCGGGACACGGAGCCAGCGCCGGGGCCAGCCGCACTGGGAGCAGGGAGGCACCGGAGGCTCAGGCTGCCTGCCCCTCAGGTGCCCCGGTGGCGGCAGAGGAGCTGCGGGCACGGCAGGGGCTGCCAGCGGCGCGGTGGCGCGGCCGTGCCGGGACGGAGCACAAGCCCTCTGCTGTTTACATGCATCTGCTGCTGCTGCTGCATGGTGAATTACGATGGCAGGTTTGAAACAATCTGACGGTCATGGAGATTTGTTTTAGATACAAGGGAGGATAAAAAAATTATGATTTTCATAATCATGCCTTTTTCTCTTAGGCGCAGGTGAACACTGCAAAACTGACTAAGATTCTAGTCAAATAGTCCCTCACATCACTCTGACCTGGCTAATTAGGGACCATGTTTTGATTATCAGCCCCTACCAGGCCCTCCTTGGCTAAGCCTCTTTGCTGTAAGTCCAGACTGAATTTGTATTTTCTCAATGCAGGTGCTGGGCTGGTGTTTTCTCTATGGTACTATTGTGTTACAACCTGACTGGTGGCAAGATCAGTTCAGACTGTGCCTGGCATCATCTGTAAGCCCAGGTGTTTGAGTTTTCTTGGAGTCTGCTCATCCCATCCTAGCTCTTCCAGTCCTCAATCTCCTCACCTGTAGCCTACACCAGGAAATCTTCTACATTATTACCCTGCAAGCTGCTTTCTTGAAACTGGTTTCTGACTAAAATGGGCAGCAGCTGTGCCTGTTTCCACCTGAGGCTGCTTGTTAGGCGTGATGCCACACCTCATCACAGATGCAAATGGTAATTAAAGGTGGAGGGGATCCTCAAAGGTCCTCCTGCTCAGACCAGGGTCAGTGTTCAAGCATCCTGATGCAAAACACAGACACGCTACAGACTGACATTAAACATCTCTGCAGACACATCTTGCAGTGTGGAGGAGGAAAAGTGATGGATATGAAAGTCCAGTATTTTATTAAGTACTTTTAAAAATGGGGGGGGGGAAAAAAGCTTGTAAGTTTTATTTCGTCACCTTCCACCACAAACCTTGAAAGAGCAGTAAAGAACCTATACACATGCTCCTAACATCTAGCATTGGTGTGCTGGGAGCTGCTCCAAGTGCATCACTGGAAGTAGTATTCTGCCCTTTTTTAATTTGGAGAGCCAGAATCTGCTGCTCCGTGTGCCCAGCAGTTCTTTAAAATATTTTGTACCCTGACAGTCAAGCCCAGGTGCTAAACAGGGCTGGGTTCCTGTCTCTGTGACAGACAAAGCACTATTAAACTGGACAGTAGATACCCAAGCTGTCCACCCAGCTTCATCCCAGGCTGTCAGAGGAGGAAACCAAACAGACAAGGCTGTGAACACATTATGTTTCAGGTCATTCAGCAGCTGCTGCAGGGGTAGTAATGGCTGGTGTTCCCACGAGCCATGGCTCCTCTTTCCATAGTTTCATACTACTTCTGTCTGCTTCACTTCCATTTCCACTGATTTGCTGGTCTGCCTAGATTATGTACAATTATGGAAATTTTAAGACATTTTTCAATGCTAATTGCAGTCAGAAGCAGCTTTATTTTAGACAGACTCTTTTTCTTTCAGCTTTCAAAAGTCTGAGAAGCACACGGTGCAACACTGAAAAATCAGGGTCCACTGCTGAAGTTTATTTTTGTAGAGATTAATATTTTTGGCACACAACATAGTCACGCTGCGAGAGTTTTCAAATATTAGTTATAATATTTACTTTACTTTTGTGAATAATATGTTAGTTTAAACATGTCTTCTAAGGTAAAGTGAAATAATTGTATGTATTTTCTTATTTTTGTGGTCCTTTCCACATAATTTCCTCTACAGTTTATTTATTTTCAGTGTACATGGGGCTGTACAAAGAAACAAACAAATTTTAAGGAATAGCATAATTAAAAAATTCTACAGATATTTAAATTGTTTTGTAGACAATATATATTTATTTCCTGGAGGGGAAGAATAATTGCACCAACACAGTGTGGATATTTTCATATCTTGAAAAAAATCTTGTATTTCTGAATCAGTTATTTTCTGTATGTGAGGATGAGTGTGAAACTGCCAAATATCCTGGAAGGGATTTCTGCTGGTTTGGTAAAATGGAATTTAAGACTATACAAATCCATACAACTTCTTTTACTACAGCTTTTGTCAGTAACTTATAAAGAAGTCTACTCCTACTTGCCTTAAGTGTGTATTGTGTTGGTCAGTGATGACAGACTGGCATCAGACTTTTGCAAAAAGGATCCAACTTTCAGTGTGACTTAATGAAGAAAAAAACAAAGTCCATATTGCAATCTCTTTTGGTAGTAGTCAGAGTGGGAATGATGACCCCTACCCCCACTATAATCACTTTGTTTTCTTTTCCCATCCAGACTTGTGGCTCTGGAATATCTGCATGCTAATCTGTCTGCTTTGGAAACTGAGTGCCACACAGGATCTGTACTGCTCCGAGGTGTGAATTCATATAATGGAACAAGCTCATTATGAAAGTTTCTTGGCCCCTGAAGATCTAGTCTGCTTCAGGGGCCACGTGACTCCAGTCAGAAGAGCTGGCAGGACTTGTTGCCCGGGCTGTGTGTACAGTGCCTAATGCAGCAGTCCCTGATTGCAGTGCCTGTGGGAGTGTGGCCTTGGGAGATGATGAGTTTGTTCAGAAAAAGTGTTTGGGTAGACACATTCATGCATCTTGGATTCAGCAAATCCAAGAAGGGGGAGGCAGAAGATTGGTTACCCAAGGTAATGTAGTGTGAGTCTGGAATTGCAGGGATGTGCCAAGTATGGTCACTAGAGACCTCCAAATCCCAAGGAAGGTCACCAGTAGTGAATGGGTTCAGCAAAGCTCAGCTGCTTCCTTCCAAAGCCTCACACATCCATCCAGGCCTAGTCTATCTGAGTTCTTTGGAAGTGAGTGTTAAGTACCTACATGAAGAGACTGAGCAGGACTTGTCCTTTTGTGAAACACTATTAATGATATTTATACTGTGGTAGCACTCAGGAACAGGGCCTTAGGATCCTTGAGGCCTTAGGATATTAGTACAGACTGTAGAGTAATTGCAGTTTCTGCCTGAAGGAACAAACAATCAGGGTTGGAAGGTACAGTTCTGTTGAAAAATGGCATGCAGAAATTATACTTATACCTACATGGTCTTACTCTGCAAATCACATATGGATTCAGAGTCACGTGTGCTATACATTTTAGTGACATAATAAACACCAATTACTTCTTTTTCCTGCTCTGATGAAAGTTAGACTAAGCTGTTTGCTTTTGTTCAAAAGAAATACTCTCCACATTAGAGTCATGTTACCTGTACAGAGTTAAGGCTAAGGATGTAATTTAGACTGCAGAATACAGGACTTTTTTCCAGATAATTGTATAGTACAGAAAAGGAAAAGAGCAAATACAGGTCTCCAGCTGATTCTCAGCTTACAAGAAATTATAGACTGCTTTTCCTCCTTTAGCTCAAAAGAAGTTTGAAGTAATATTACTGAAGCTAATGGAGCTATGGTACTGTAGAAGTTTTCTTAAATAGCCAAAACTGAGGCTAAATACAGCATTTAGCCGTGTCAAACTCTAATGTTAAATGTGAGCTCCCAATCCAGCTTTCCTTACAAGCCAAGACTTGCTGCCTGGTGGATCTAGGAGATCACCAGGGCCATTTACTGACCCTGTAGCTGGACACATCAGGCATTCCTGATCATTCAGTTTACTGCCTGGCTAATGTGGGTATCAAGTCACAGGGAGATGTGGTGACACTGTGATGCTTATTGCTGGCTCAGGTGGCTTCACCCTCAGCATAACACACAGCACATCCTCCCTGAAGCATCCTGCAAAGGTCCCTGTGTTCTGTGAGCCAATGCCCCAAACACATCGTCCATGAGACAGGGCAACAGTTTGATGAAAAGAACAGTGGAGGTCTGAGTGCTGCCAGCTTTGACAGCTCAAAACTATTGTCCTTCATTCAACTCATGGGACTGACCCCAAAGTCGTGGGACTTGAGCAAAAACGTATATGGCAGTTTAGTTCTTCCTTTTCTTTTGGTTTGAATAATGCAATTTTGGGTCTTCTTATAGATACTCATGCTCTCAAACTGGCTTCTCCTCTGTCCATTAAACCTTTAAACCTTGAAGCAGTCATATCATCTCATGAGGGCAGCAGTTCTGCCTCCTGCATCTGTCCTGCTCCCAGTCTTCCAGCCAGCTCTGCCCTTCCCAGCCTCACCCTTACAGCAGAGCATCCAGAGGTCTGCCCCTCTGGTGGGTGGTGTACAGACTAAGGAACTTTATGTTCCTTATGTCCACCACTTAGTCACAAACCACAGGGGACAAGAACACAAACAGTGCAAACTGCTTTCCCAACTCTTCTTCAAAAAGAGGGCTGTGCCTGAAAGGTGGTGTGAGATACTAATTCCTGTTTGTCACTGCTAACTCAAGTCTGTGTCTTTTCCACAGGAGCTAGGAAGGCAGCCAGAGCAGGTTTCCCACAAGCAGTGACACCATTTACTAAAGAATCCTCAGAACTTATATAGTCACCTGGCTTGATTTTAAAAGGGCAGCATCTGTCTGATGCTGATCTGTGCTGGATGAACTTCTCATCCTTTAGAAGCAGAAACTTCTACAGGTGAAGAAATTTTGAGCTGAGATTTAGTCTGCAGTGGTGGTTCACTGAAGTCCTCTTTTAGCTGTCAAAACTTATGCGGCCAACCTGATGTGTTACTGCAGACAAACCTGGTCCCTAACATCCAAGACTTTGTGGAAAAGAAGGAGAGGGAGGGAAGAAGCAAAACCAGATAGCAGACAAATGGAAAAGTGTGGATTTCCTTGCTAGAGATGAAAAAAAAAAAAAAAAAGAGAACACTGAAAATCAGATCTGCCATGTAAATTTGTGATGAGTGCTTGACATCTAGCAATTAATTTCAGATAATACTAAAATGGTTTTATGCCTCAGTGATTCTACGCAAGGCATCCACCTTTGTGGCTATATTTCCCTTTTTCCCTTGAGGTTCCTTACCATTTGCTGTACAGTAGCCAGTAATACACCACATTTGCCCCTTGCTTGACAGGACTTAAACCTCACATTTCTTAAAAGCAACTGGCTTCTGCTGTGGAATGATGCAGTGTTTGCCCTCTGTGTAACAAACCCAGCCACACACAGAGTTGTGATCTCATTCTGGAAAACTTCTGAAGGACAGCAGCCTTGTGCAGAGCAACAGTCCTGAGTATCACGT